CACAAAGGACAAGAGGTGTTATACATAAACAAAAATTACTAGTTACTCCCCGACGGTAAAATAAATTACCAAAATACTGCTAAAGGTAAAGGTAAAAACAGTGCAAAAATAGTAGAGTATAGCTAGACGTAATCTTTGGAAAAAATGAGACAACCGAACGAAAATCTGTAAAATATGCTCAAATATAATAAACTTATGTAAACTGCTGTCGCAAATAAAGAACTACAAAGAAATACACAAATATACTCAGGTAATATGCTAAAAAATAGTAGACAGTAGACACACGCCGCTTTTACTGTTAAATATCACAGAATACTAGCGGTATGTAACAATATAGTTTCTGAAACGATACGACGTATAATTTTTTATGACTGAACACTTACCTACATACTGATTTAAAAATGTATACCAAGTCTTTCCAGCCCGTGCATCTATAACAAAAATCCTTCAAAAAGCCGATAACTTGACCAAAGCACATAAACATGTTTACTACCTTTGAATAATAGTCTATAAGGAACTATGAAAAATAACTGAAGGCACGCTTCTTATCAGGATATGTGGTTTTCAATCTAACTACGAGACTGCAAGAAAACGATAACTATACAAAACAATTTTTATCATCTGTACTTTTAAAATGAAATTAGGAAATAACAATACCTAAATATGCATTATTATTATACAGTAATGATGTCCGCTCGATTGCACCCCCCTAAAATAGTACCAGATAGCCAATAAGACCTGTCGTTCGATAGATCCAATAATATGTTATTGGTATTGACCAAAAATATAAACTTGTAAATTAACAACAAAGAATATTAAAAATGTAGCGAGTACATATCCAGACAGGCGTAATCTTTGAAAAAACAAACGACAACCAAAACAAAAATTTGTGAAATATGTTCAAATACAACAAAACTATGTAAACTACAGTCACAAATAAAGAACTGTAAATAACTAGACAAATACTTATACAGGGGTAATAGGCTAAAGATATAATAAAACTATGTTAAATCATGTCAAAATAAATACCTGCAAAGAAAAAATAAGCAAAATATAATGTAAAATACACTAAAATATATAATAAACTATGTAAACTACAGTAAAAATAAACACTCTACAAAAAAGAAGAAGCAAAAAACAATAATGAAAAACATGGCTAAAATAAAAGAGGTACTAATGTGTACAACAAGTTAAAAAATAATAAACACGTACTGACAGGGGCAAATGTTAAAATTATATCGACATGCAATGAAGTACTAAAACATCTATCGACAGATAGGAACTAATGATCAAAGCAGTCGACATTCAATGAAAAATACATTAAAACATTAAACTTATAAGAGGCAAGACGCAAAAAGTAATAAGCATCGACCGACTAATAGGAAATAATGATCAAAGCAGGTGACATGCAATGAAAATATATTAAAACAGATCAAAATTATAAGAAAAGACATGCAAACACCAATAAACACCTACTTGTTGGAA